TATTTTTAATTAAATTTCAAACTTTTAGTATTTAATAAAGGGTAGATTGGTCATAGCGAAAAGATAAAATTTTGTCAGTTAAAATTGAAATAAATTAAATGAAACACTCGCCCGTAATACTCTAATTAATGTTAGTTAAGAGCACAGGATGGAAAAGGCTTAATTCAATTTTTAATCTATTAACTATAAGCTTAATTCAATTTTTAATCTATTAACTATAAGCTTAATTTTATTTTAGTCTAGAAAGTTTATTTTTTTTAAATGGTTTATAAACTTTGAAAATATTTTAAAATAATCTATTACTATATGATGATACTATAATCCTAATAAAATATGATGACTCAAAAAATATTTTATAAAGATATATTAGTTAAAATTTATAATAAACTTGAGCAATTAATCTGTTTTATAGAGCAGATTGTACGCAGTCTGTTTTGAAAAATTATTTTAATGTTTTGGAAAAACTAATATAAAAATAAAATTAATGACATTTAAATAATTTTACAAAACAAACTGCATATAGTCTGTTTTGTGAAACAGTTTTATGAAAAACACATTTAACAAAATAAGATTAAAAACTATTTTTATGGTGATTATAAATTTAAGAACTAAAAGATAAAAAAAAAATATAGTTAGAGGATTAAATATTTTCTTATTGAAATAAGAAATGAAAGTTAATAGATGAAACTGAAAAGAGTATGAAAGAAAGTTAATAGATGATTTGTTAAATTAATTTGGATAGAAAACTTAGACTCTATTTTGTGATTTTAAATTTTTAGTTTTAACTTTTAAAACTTTAAAAATTCTAAAATAAGATTAAATGGTTCTATAAACTATTAAGTTTAGAATTTTAGGTATTTATTTGAAAATTTTATACCTAATAAATTAATAATTTTAATTTTTAATTTTTTAATAATAACTTTAATTATTTAAAATTTTAAAACCAAAACTAAAAAATCTAAACTAAAAATGGAGCCTTAATCACTACCAACATTCGGCCAACAAAAATTTTCAAAAGACAAAAAGAATTACTAATTAATATTCATTTTTCGAATGTATTTTTTCAATTTAATTATTAAGCTGTATCATACTAGTTTTCTCGTGAAATTTTAAAGGCATATCTAATATTTAAAGCTATAGTCGAGCATCAAAATTCTCAAATTTGAGCAAGCCTGACTTCATAGTAAAGGCCTAAAGGACTTCAACTAAGTTAAAATTTTGTCGTGCTCGAATTATTCAATAAATAAATCAAGTTCGAGTTGCCCGACAATAAATGATCTAACTCTCAAAATTTCTAATTTTTTCTTTAAAAAATGAAAGAAACTGAAAAATCATCAAAATACTTCACATAAAAAATAAAACTAACTAAATAGAAGAATTAAAAAATCAAACATGATATAGTTAAAAATTAATGCTAACTTCAATAAAAAAAAAAAGTTGAAAATTCGAAGGCAGTCGACTTTTATCATTATAAGATAGATATGAAGATCTAGACTCTGAAGACAAAGTTGAAAAGGCCAAAATAGTATCATGAAAGCAATTTCATAGCAGATATAAGATGGTCATTTTCTAGGACATAATCATATCATAATTCTCAGTGACATATCAACCCAAACTCTATTTCAGCTTATTTAGTACCCTATAGCTTCCACACACATCAGAAGACTAGAAACAGACACACACAGACAGATAGTGCTAAACGGTGGAAATAGGACCCAAGTTGACTGTGGACTCCTCCATGGCCTTCATGGCTATAAACTTAGGCTCCTTGGCCTGGAACTTCAGACCAATGTAGTGCTTCATGTAATTCTCAAACACAAATTTGGGGTAAAGTTGAGCCTCTTTCTCAAGCAAAGCTGGGGCCGGGGAGATCACAGCATCACTGCCTGGGTTGTAGAAGGAAGCAATGGACATTCTGGTACCATCTCTCTGAGCAATCACCCTGTGCAACACACTTTTGTACTTCCCATTGGTGATCACCTATGTTAGACAAACAAAAATGAGAAAATTAAATTAAGAAGCTAACCGGATCGAGAATCTAACATATTTCTTTATAATTCACCTTTATCCAATTGGGTTTGTGCTTAAAGCAGAGATGGTACAAATCATTGATAAAAAAAGGAAAAAAAGAAAAAAAAAAGCTAACTTAATATTGCAAAAGATCCTTTATGGGAAATGCTAGATACTACTAAAAAGTTTAGTGGATGAACAAGGAAGTGCTAGTTTCATATTTTATACCTCAAGTTGATCTCCAAGGTTGATGACAATGGAGTGTTTCATGGGAGGGACATCGATCCATTTTCCATCTTTGAGGAGCTGGAGGCCACTGACCTTGTCATCTTGGAAGAGCAAGATGATGCCACCAGCATCAGTGTGAGCCCTGAGGCCCTTGATGAGGTCAGGTTTAGGGCATGGAGGGTAATTGCCGACCTTAGTGCCAAAGTTTGGACCTTTGGAGCCATAAAAAACCTTCTTCAGGTACCCTTTCTCCAGCCCCAAATTCTCACACAACAAATCCAGAAGCAGCTCCGCTAGCTTCTCCAAGTCCTTGGCAAACTCCTTCATCACCTTCCTGTAATTGTGTACATATATATATACGTAACTAACAGATGAAACAAATACAAACCAAATAATTCTGACAATAAATGAACATATAAATTATAAAAATTTGACCTGTATTCTTCTTGAAGATCAGGGATTTCCGAGATGTTGGATTCAGGAAGGTGTTTGACGTAGAAGGTGCTTTCCCAGTCCAAGTCACCAATTTCAGACTGAGCAGCCTCAAGACCCTTACTTTTCACCATTTCTTTGAACCTCTGCTCCATGCACCTTCTGTAATGCTCCTTGTTAACCCTCTCCACAGTGTCCAACAGCTCATGAGATAAACCATGATTCAACAGCTTCAACACCCCCAAGAGAAAATGAATTAAAACCCACAATTAGTTCCTTCATTTCCATTTAAAAAAAAAAAAAAACACACCACACATGTTACAAAAACAATAACTTAGTTAAATTAGCATTCCTAACTTTAAAACCTTAATTTTATATATGAGGATTAGAAGTTCAAATCTCTACAATATTTAATAAAAAAAAAATAGAAATAGATTTTGTTGGTATACCTCAAAGAAACCCCAGTTCTCACAAGCATCTTTGATCTTTTCCATGGTGGCTGATCTCTCTTCACCATTGAGTTTGGAGAGGTCAATAACAGGGAAATTCTCCATTGATTCTCTCAGAAAAAGATTGTCTTTCTTTTCTTTTTTCCTCAGTGCTTTGTGTCAGTGTGGAGAATGAGTTCACGAGGGAGTCCAATTTATAGGCATAGAAAAAGTGCATTAAAAAATAAACTAAATGTTGGAAAATCTAAGTATATATTAAAGAAGAAACAGTCGTGGAGCATTTATGTTATGTAGATCACATCCATGATGGACCCCTCCCCATTATCTTTCGGCCATGGTAGGAGAGGCTAAGGGCCCAAATCATGGGGTGGGGGAGTTAAAGATTCCTTTTTTTTTTTTTTTTTTTGCTTCTTTATTCATTCCTAATTTCTAATTTATTAGGGCTTTCTTTGAAAATATGGGGGTGATATTACTGTAGACTTTTCGGTATTTTTTTAACTCAAGAATAAAGAGCATCAAATCATAATATAATTGACCTTAATATTAAAGGAATAAAGAATAAGATTCGATTATAAAATGAAGGAATATCATGCCATTATAAAGATTGATCAAATCATAAGAAGTCAATTTATCAATTAATTTATTTCAAAAATTTGATTTTGATTATAATCGCATTAAGAGGAAGATTTTCAATTAATTGTTATTTTCCTATATTATGTGTCTCTCACCCTATAAGTAGGTTGCTTATATATAAGAAAATAATAAAGAGAGAAATAAACATGCAAATCCCACTGAGACTTTTGTACCATGGACTAGGAGGACCTTGATGCATTATGATATCCTAACATTATTCCAAACCACATAATATCGTATCTTCCTCTCTCTCTCTCTCTCTCACTTATCTTTTATTTTGTTCATATTATTGTTGTTTATGTTATTGTTATGTTATCATGAGACTTTTATTATTTGAGATTTTCTCATCATATTAGAAACTTCTTCATGGTATTGTCAATCTAGGAATACACTCAACTTTCCAAGGGAAAGTTGAGTAAGGTTTCATTTCTTTCGTTTTTTTTCCACCCTTTTATTTTCTCATCTTTCCTTTGAAAAAGAATAAGAGAGACAAAAAGAGAGAGAGAAAAAACTACAAATTGAAGAGACCATTCGGCCATCTTCATGCTCTAACTTAAGGGGGAATAAATAGGATTATCAAATTATATATATAATTGATTCCAATATAAAAGGAAGAAAGAATAGGATCCAATTATAGAAGGAAGGAATATTATGCCATTATGAAGATCGATCAATTCATGAGAAATCAATTTATCAATTGATTGATTTCAAGGATTTGATATTGATTATAATCTAATTAATAGAATAATTTTCAATTAATTGTTATTTTCTTATATTATGTATCTCTCACCCTATAAATGAGGTTGCTCATATATAAGAAAAGAATGAAGAGAAATAGTATTGTGGACTAAGGGGGCCTTGATGCATTATGATGTCCTGGCACTATTCCAAACCACATCATATCGTGTCTTCCTCTTTCTCTCTCACTTATCTTTCATTTTGTTCATAGTATTGTTATTCATGTTGTTGCTACATTATCATAAGATTTTTACTATTAGAGATTTTCTCATCATATTAGAAACTTCTTCATGGTATGTACACTCAGCTTTCCATGTGAAAGTTGAGTAAGGTTTCATTTCTTTCATTTTTTTCCCCACCTTTCTATTTTCCCATCTTTCTTTTGAAAAAAAAAATGGAGATATATATATATATAAACTACAAATTGAAGAGATCATTTAGCCATCTTTAAAAAAAAAAAAAAAGGAAAACTTCTACTTTCTTATAGGGACAAAAGAGACTAGAGGAGACCATTTGACCATCTTCTAGAGTTCTCTTTCTAAGCCCTTAGAGGTGATTTACAAGCAAGTTAGACACTCGATTAACATCTCCGTGCTCCAACTTGAGGAGGAGTAAAAGGATCAAATCATAATATGATTGATCCTAATATAAAAGGAAGAGAGAATATAGGATCTGATTATAAAAAAAAAAAAAAAGGAATATCATACCATTATGAAGATTGATTAAATCATGAGCAATCAATTTATTATTTGATTTCAAAGATTTGATATTGATTGTAATCTCATTAATAGGAAGATTTCAAATTAATTGTTATTTTCTTATATTATGTATCTCTCACCCTATAAATAGGGTTGCTTATATGTAAGAAAAGAATGAAGAAAAATGAACATGCAAAGTCCACAAAGGCTTTTGTATTGTGGATTAGGGGGGTCTTGATGCATTATGATGTCTTGGCACTATTCCAAATAGCGTAATGTTGTGTTTTCTTCTCTCTCACTTATCTTTTTATTTTGTTCATGTTATTGTTGTCCATGTTATTGCTATCTTATCATAAGATTTCTACTATTAGAGATTTTCTCATCATGTTAGAAACTTCTTCATGGTATCAAAACAAGTCGGTCCGGAACTACACTCAACTTTCCAAGTGAAAGTTAAGTAAGGTTTCATTTCTTTAATTTTTTTTTTCCCACCCTTCTATTTTCCCATCTTTCTTTTGACAAAAAAAAGGAGAGAGGGAGAGATATAAACAAAAAGGAGAGAGAGAAAAAAAACCTACAAATTGAAGAGTCCATTTGGTCATCTTTAAAAAAATAAAAACTTCTACTTTCTTATAAGAACAAAAGAGACCAAAGGAGACCATTTGGCCATCTTCTAGAGTTCTCTCTACAAGCCCTAGGAAGCAATTTACAAGTAAGTTGGACACTTAATTAACATCTTCATGCTCCAATTTAAGGGGAGTAAAGAGGATCAAATCATAATATGATTGATCCTAATATAAAAGGAAGAAAGAATAGGATCCAATTATAGAACGAAAGAATATCATGCCATTATAAAGATTGATCAAATCATGAGAAATCAATTTATCAATTGATTGATTTTAAGGATTTGATATTGATTGTAATTTCATTAACAGGAAGATTTCTAATTAATTATTATTTTTTTATATTAATTAATTATTTTCATTAATAGGAATATCATGCCATCATAAATAGGGTTATTCATACGTAAGAAAAAAATGAAAAAAAATAAATGTTGAAAACACACAAAGGCTTTTGTACTATGGATTAGGGGGGTCTTGATACATTATAATGTCTTGGCACTATCTCAAACCACTAATATTGTGTCTTCCTCTCTCACTTATCTTTTACTTTGTTTATGTTTTTATTATTTATGTTATTACTATGTTATCATAAGATTTCTATTATTAGAGATTTTCTCATCATATTAGAAACTTCTTCAAATAATATATAAAATATTTGAGATTTGTGTTTATCAATCAAATTTTTTAAAAAAATAAGAGTAAAAATATGCAAAAATTATGTTGTAAAGAGACTTTTTTCTTATTACTCGTGCTGTTTTTATGAATTTTTATTAGTTTTACTACTTAATTTTAGTAGATTTAATTTTTTTTATCTAATAAAATAAAGATAAAATAATTTATTGATAAAATTTTATATTTATTTTTAGTTAAGTATCATCTAAATAAAATTTTTTATTTAATATATATTGTAATTATCTTTTTGAAATTAGAGTAAAATATGAATAAATACATTAAATTATATTTTATAAAGAAAGGGTAAACAACTAAAGCTTCGTTTGATGATATTTTTAATGCTTTAGCTCTTGGTTTTATGTCTTCTTACCATTTTATAAACATATAAAATATTGATCAAAATAAATATTAAAAACATGTTAAATATATTTTATATAATTTTAAAATATTCAAAAACAAAAAACTAATAACTATAGTTACAAATTAACACTCTCAAACTATACTTTTAAACGCCCCAAATTAGTAACTAATTCTACTAACAGCTAAAGAGTAATTATAGGTGCAATCGGTTGAGAAAAAAATATATTAAAAGTTTTTTTTAATGGCGTTCGGTTAAGGTGGTAGTAAGAAATTAAAATCAAATTGATTCTTATTGAGGCGTATATGAGCATGCAAAAGTTTCATGATCTAAAGCCAATTTAATTGTATTGGTCTATTGACCTTAAAGGAGCTGTAACTCCCTTATTGGTAAGTCGTAACTGTAAAAACATGCGGTAGCCAAGAAATTTGCTCCTAACCAATTAATGAAAAGCTTTTCTAACATTGGGTTTAGATATACGTTAATTTTCAATAGAAATTTACATGAAAAAAATAAAAAAGTTAATTTTGTTTTTAATATCAATATCATTTATTTGAATATTTTTAATTAAGTAGTTGATAAAATTAAAAACAATTTTTATTCTTTCCATAATTATTAATGAAAATATGCATTTATTTTGTTTATTTTGGATTAATACCCTAGAAGACATTCCTCTCATATTCTTTATCTACTTTCTATCTTGCAATTCAAATTTTTTATTTTTTATTTTTAAAAAATTATTATTAAATTATTAAATTATTAATAAAAAAATATGCAATTGATACATTATTAAACTATTCTAAAAATCATTAATCAAAGCCGGATACTTACAAATTTTCGAATATTTAATGAAAAGATCCTAGAGAAGACCCTATTCTATCAATGTTAGTGTTGCCTTCTCATTATCCTAAATAATAATAATAAAAAAATCATATAACAATTACGACATCTTACCATCAAAAATCAAAAGTGAAACCACACCCCCCCCACCAAAAAATCAAAAGTGCATTAAATAAAGTGAAAAGTGGGTTTGCCAATAGATAAAGTACTCGTTTTGTAGTTGCCGACAAAAAAGGTACTTGTTTTGACGTCATCGACATAACACGAGCGAAAGGGAAGAAATGAAAGAAAATAAAATGAGAGAGTAAAAACTAAAAAGGTAGTATTAAAAAATATTAAAATATTTAATTTTAATGAAATAATAAATAAAATTTAAATGTGATTTGTATTATATTTTATATATTTTGTAATTATAATTAAGCATCTTAATGTTTTTATACTAAACGTCCTATTTTTCTCCAATTATAGGAGAAAAAAATGATAAAAGAAAAGCATGAGCACGCAGTAAGCGGGATGAAGAAAAAAAAAGTGAAATTTTTGGGAGAAGGAGGAACAACCTTATGAACTAGCTAGGTATAAATAAAGCTATATATGTTATTAGTTTAGGATAATTATACATACATTCAAATAATCAACACTCATTTCAACATCCAAGGCTTATAAACAGTAAAATTATAAATTTACCCCTCCTTATTTTAGCTTTGGGTGTTGAGATGGATGTTGATTGATTGGATGGATGTATAATTGTCTATTAGTTTATTAACATGAATGGAAGCAAAAGCTAAGTGAAAGGTGAAAGAGTGAGCACAGGAAGCATTAATTTTCACCCTTTTAGCTAGGCTCATTCATTTTCCCATCCCCAAAGACATCCTAAATAATTTTGTCTTTTTTTTTTTTTAAACTAATCTTTTGATATTTGAAAAGCACATTAAATCTTAACTAATCAAGATCAAGTCACTATAAAAGGAACGACCTTATAAAAGGAAAACTTTTTTAACCTTTATTTTTTCATTTATAATACTCAAATTTGAAATCTTATTTAAAAGAAATCAAATTTTTTTATTTGAACCAACATGTCATTGGTTAAATAATTTTGTCCTAAACAAGACTAGAGAAGGTATTTACCTCAAATGGCATGCAATCTAGCTAGAGATACTTTAGAAGCACTCGTCATTTATTTATCTGCTGAAAAAGTTTAAAAGTAGTTGTCAAGTAGCAATTGATTTATGTAATGTTGATCTTGCATATATCAAATTAAAGTTAAGGTCACACAAGTCCTTAAGTTTGCATTTTTTTTCTTTTATAAAGTTAGCAATCAATAGTACTGCTCAACAATTGGAAAGCTCAAGATCTGTGGTTTAGCATATCCTGGTCATGGATCAAGTTCTAGATACCATGAGGGGATTCATTTTTCTAGCTTAAACATAAATGTTTTTTATTTTTTTTTATTTTTTTATTTTGTGCCCTTTGAAGTAGGTTAAAGATATAATAATAATTATTTTTTTACATTAATTGATGTTGAAAAATAAAAGTTGATCTTTAATATTTAATCATATATTTAATTGAAATGATCTACATGACTTTAATGATAAAACTAATGTTAAATTTTGTACTTTTCAATACTAATTATTGTTAAAAAATTATAATAATTAAGACATGTTAAAAAATAAGTCCAAACATATATATAAGAATATTCACATAATTTTTTAGAACACTGATACATACACCCTCCAAAAGTTACACACTCTGTTACATACAGACGATTTCTGTTAGTGAGCTATTAAAATTGAAAAAAATCGTTAGTTTTAATGGTAGAAATAATAAAAGAAAACTGTTAATTTTAATCGTAAAAATAATGAAACTATCAATTTTAATAACACAAGTAATGAAAACCATCAATTTTAATGGCACACTAACGAAAATCATCAGTGTGTAACAAAGTATGTAAATTTGGAAGGTGCATGTATCATTTCTCAATTTTTTAATTCTTGTAACAGAGTCTTACAATCATAGGTGATGGTTATAATTAATTGTTTTCGCTCAACATTTCACAAATATGAACTAGAATATATCAAATCTCATTTAGTATCATATAAGTACATTGTAGAAGTTTGTTCTGAAATAAAATTAATTATATTTGTATCATCTCTCCATATTCTAATTCTATGGCTTCCAATTAATTAACGTTCAAGTAATTAATCCAAATTCTAGTCCACATATGATAATAATTTTCATTATAACTTTGCTTTTTTTTTTTTGTGAAAACTTGCATGTAGGTAACAGAAGACGAGCATTTGGATTAAAATAAATTCCCAATAAATAAAAAGTAACTCATTCTATACTTAAGCTACATATATTTTTTTTATTAATTTCTAAACTCTGTCCTTATATATGAAAAAGGAGTGAATTTTGAGGTGGCTGTTAGCAGAGCAGGAGTCTTGCTTTGTATGTAAGAATGCTTGAGATTCAGTAGATATATCGATTTATTTGTGCTTTTATATAAATGGGTTTTGAATATCTCTTATATTCTTATAGTCTGTTAATAAAAATTGTTTGTTATTAAAAAAATTGAAAAGAACTTTATCCATATGATCATACACTGCAAGATTCAGAAAGATACTTTGGCTTCATGCCTTTAGAAAGAATGAATATTGAACCCTCAATTATATTGTTCCCCAATTAAATATATAATATTGACATTCTGAGTGCATGAATGGGAATCCAAGATGCCAAAGGGAAAAGAGTACGACCCAATTTTCTGAGGCATCTTTATTTATTTTTTATTTTTTTAACAAGAGTAATAATTAAAAAGTTAGTATGAGTTAGTTGTTAGCAACTGATTTTCATATGGTTAAATGTTAAATTTGGTCTCTTAACTTTAGTGAGTTGCACATTTTTAGTCCCTCAACAATTTTTTGTACTTTTTTGATCCCTCAACTTTAAAAAATGCACAACGTTTGTCCTTCTGTTAAATTGAGCTGTTAACTCGGCCACGTGGCATTTTTTATTCTTTTTTTGATGACATGGCAAGGACAACTTTAAAAGTTGCTGATATGGATTTTTTTTTTTATGACATGGCAAGGACAATTTTAAAAAGTGCTTATATGGATTTTTTTTTTTTGACATGTTATCTTCTTCCTCTTCTTCCTGCACCAAAGACCCTTCAATGGCTTTCAAGTTGCTTGCAAACCACCAATAAGATCTGTGAACCCTAGAATGGTCTCTCACCTTCCCTTTCTGCAAAATCAATCTAACTCGAGTTGAAACCCAGCAAATTTTACCAAATAAATTATAATAAAAATTAATATATCCCCCCTTCCCGGAGACGCCGTCGTTCAGCGCCGGTGCCCTCCCCCCTCTCGCTGGAACAGCCTAAGGAACCAACACAATGAAGAGAGGCTGCAGCTTTTCTTTCCACACGGCTGCCGTCTTTTCGGCTATCGCTTTCATATATTTCTCTACGATCTTCATTTTCATAGAGCATTGGTTTGGTCTAATGTCTTCTCCAGGCATCATGAATGCCGTGGTGTTCACCGGCGTCGCCGGAATGTGCATTTTCAACTACGCCGGTGCCATCAGGAAGGATCCGGGTCGGGTCCCGTCCTCTTACGTTCCCGACATTGAAGATGCCCAAAATCCTGTCCACGAGATCAAACGCAAGGTATACGCAGATCTCAAACATCTGTAGCTAGATCTTTTTGCCTTTTCTGGTTAATGTAGCATGGTTTTGGTCTTGATTAATTCTTCTGGGAGATTCTGAGTGGCTTTTGGCAAACATTTTGATCATATCCTTTCTGTTTGTTTGATAATTGCAATTTTTTTGTTAAATTAGGGAGAAGATAGTATCTATCAAGTGCTTAATGCGTGAATTGGCTTGTTTTGCTATAATTATTGCATTTGGGGAGCTAATCTGGAGTGGAGAAGATTAGCAGATTTTTGCATGTGAGAAAAGAAATGGTCCAGGAATTGTTCTTGTTTCTAAATTTGGTAAAAGTTGAAACCCAGCAAGGCTGGGTTTCGGTTGAAACCCAGCAGCTGTCGTCCACTACTACTGGAACCCACAGCAATAGCAAATCCAAGGGCTCAACAGGATTGGCCCCTTCTAAATCGACCCTTTACGTTTCCAATCTCGACTACGCCCTCACCAATTCCGATCTCCATACCCTCTTCTCCACCTTCGGCAAGGTCGCTCGCGTCACCGTTCTCAAGGGGGTTTCGACGAACGCAGCAAGGCTGGGTTTCAACCGAACCCAGCAGCTGGGTTTCAACCGAACCCAGCAGCTGGGTTTCAACCGAACCCAGCAGCTGGGTTCGTCGAAACCCAGCAGCTGGGTTTCATCTGCTGGGTTCCGATGAACCCAGCAGCTGGGTTTCATCTGCTGGGTTCCGATGAACCCAGCTTTCCACCGACCTAGGGTGGGAAAGAAAGAAAGAGAAAGAAAGAAGGGAAGAAGAGGGATTGGGAGGGTGCGGAAGGCTGGGTTTCGTTTGCTGGGTTCATCTTTGCACCGACCCAGGGTAGGGAAGAAAGAAAGAGAAAGAAAGAAGGAAGGGGAAGAAGAGGGTTTGGGAGGGTGAGGGTAATAAAGTAATTGTATTTGTTTTTAATTAAAATATAAATATTAATATATGTGGCATTTTTATTTATTTATATAATATAATTATAATATAGATTATTGCCACATCATCAAAAAAATTAAAAGATAATGCCACGTAAAATTATTTAACTGCCACATCACACTTAACTGACGGAAGGACTAAAATTGTGCAATTTTTAAAGTCAAGGGATTAAAAAAGTGCAAAAAATTATTGAGGGACCAAAAATGTTCATTTCGTAAAGTTGAGGGACTAAATTTAGCATTTAACCTTTTCAGATTTGATGAAACATTCCATCTATTCAAATGAGACGTGTGGCTATCAGGTCACCTTTTAATGAAGTTTATGATGTTTGTGAAGCTCGAAACTCTGATCATCTTATCCAAACACTTAAAGTTTGAGGTCAAATCACTGGATCTAAAATTTCGGTTCAATTTTTTGAGGCATTCCATTTGGTAATTTGGAGCACATGACGTGTTCTAGTTTGGGATTAGATTCTCCCACCTTATTTTCCTCTCCCCGAAAAAGCCACGACATAGGCTATGATTTTCTGCATCAAAGCATGACTCTTGTAAGAAAAAAGAAATAAAAGCCAATCGTAATTATTGCCTTTATTTGATTTTGTTGTTAAAAAAATCTGTTATTATTAATTAATAATATAATAATTAATATTTATTATTTAATAAATTAAAATTAATTTATAAATAAATTCTTCTAAACATTTATTGAGTGAGAAAAATTTCACAACAAAAAAGTATGTGATTTAAATATAAAAAGAATTATTGTATTTATTGACAATTGATTTTAAATTAAATGTAAATTTTATATTGAAACTTGCATGCGATATTATAAACTTAAAATATAATATATTATT